GTAAATGAGTACAACAAGCATCATGGTGTTGTGGTATTTAAAAGATCATCTGTGTTTTTTTAATTGTCAATTGTTGTGAAGAAAACATAAGTTACTAAACTTTCTATTGCAATAGAAGCAGAAAAATGAAAGTTTGGCCTGAATTGCCTTCATTGAGTTTTTAAAAAATCTGTTCAGATCAAGAAAATGGTTTTTCAGACTAGATCTGATATATACTCACCTGAATATGTTCAGGTAGGCATTAGTGGGTGTGGCTCCAGTGCCCTTACTTCATTTGTCTGCTGCTTTGATTTGAAGATGCCTCCACCTCTGAGTACAGTAGCGTCCTTTAGAAAATGGATACCAGCATGTGGAAGGAAGCTTAGCAGAAGTCACCCAGGCCATAAGCCAATCTTGTCGCCTGTCAGAATGTTTTGGGAACTAGATAGGGTTTCTGTATTTTCAAGTAGAAATGGAAAATAATGAGTTAAATTACAAGCTACAGTAGGAGACAATGCAACTAAAGACAATATTAAATAGAATGTGTCAAGCCATGTGCTTTTTCTTATACAACATATTTTCATATTTCTGAGGAGATAGTTCCACCTCCCAGTTGGTATATGTTGCATCTTTGAGATTTAACATTTCCTTTTCTTTTAGTTCTACTTTCAGAGAAGATTAACCTTACATCTGAGGATTTGTTCTTTTTACCCATGAAGAAAGCCTGTATATATAGTTTTAGAAATGAATGAGTTGGTTTTTTTTCATTTTCCACTAAAATTGCCACTGGAATTTTTGGATTTGATGTTCTTATCAGCTTATAGATTTAGTCTTTACCTATTATGATTTGTATTGGGCACTGGGATTTAAAAGATGAGTAGTATACAACTCCTATGTTCAAGAAAGCTCTAAATCATTGTTTGCTTCTGTTTGCTGCATAAGATCATATATAGTGATTTTTATCAAAATGAACTCCAAGAAATGGAAACAAGAGGGTTTTTTGTTATTTTACTTTTTGTGTTTTTTCTCCTTGGTCATTTTTTTTTACTTCAGTACTTTTGTCTTGTATGTGTTTATCTGTTTGGGAGAGCTAAGGAGGAGCACAGAATAGTGGGAAAAGGGTAAAGTAATGCAGCAGTAATATTCCCTAGACACTGTTGAAGTATACTCAAAGTGCTTTTAATCATGTCCAAGTATAATTATTTGTTTTTTTACTATCCATTGGATTAACTTGTAGATTTATAGACATATTCTAGCTATTACAAATCAGGGAAACCATGCAGTATTTGCTTCTTTGGGTCTGACTTACTTAGCTTAATATAATTTTTTCTGTCTTTACATTTCCTAACAAATGGGGCAATGCCATTCTTTCTGATGGAAGTATAGAATTCCATTGTGTATATATACCACATTTTCTTGATCCATTCATCCGCTGAGAGGCACCTGTGTTGATTCTATATCTAAGCCAGGGTAAACAATGCTGCAATGAGCATGGTTATGCTGGTGGCTTTAGTGCAGGCTAGTCTGTGGTCATTTGGGTAAATGTCCAGGAGTGAGATTGCTGGGTCATGGGAAAGCTCACGATCGAGTAAACAACACTCTAAGCATTCACACAGTGAGAATAAAGGAAGATATCCTTAGGGGAGGATCACAATGGCTTAATTGCTATGTGCATATGGCCATATAAAATGATGACTATTGAAAGGGACTCCAAGGAATGGAAATGAAGTTTTTTTATTGTACTGTTTTCAGTTCTTTCTTTTTTCTTTCTGTTTGTTCCCATCTGGCTTATTCCCTGTTGCCACTGTTTTTTATTCCTGTACCCTTTGTCTTGTATATAAGCTTATCTGATTTGGGGAAGAGAAGGGGAATCACAGAGATGGTGGGACAATGTGTGAACCAATTCAACAGTGATACGCACTGGACACTACATTGGAAATGAACTTTACAACTTAGGAGAGGGAGGAAGGTGGGGAGGGGAAAAAGTGAGAGAAAATGAGGGAAGGGGCAACACTGTTCAAAAAGAAATGTATTCATTACCTGACTTAAGTAGCTGTAACCCCTCTGTACATCATCTTTACAATAAATTTAAATTAAAAAAAGAAATGAAAATGAATTAAATAACTTGTGGGATGGGAGGGGATCAGGAGGGAAAGAACTGGGAGAAAACTAGGGAAGAGGTGACACTGTTGGAAAAGAAATGTACTTACCTGACTTATGTAACTTAATCCTTCTGTATAACACCTTTGCAATAAAAATAAAAAATAAAGTACAAATAAGAAAAATTAAATGAATAATCTCTTCCTAACCAGGGTGAACAATTCTGTGATTTGCTTACAAACCTTTTGACTGTATTTTGGAGGGGAACTTCCAGGCCTGTAAGCCATATAAAACCCTGGAAATCATTCGGTGTATGACGAGACAGACATGAAATGTTTCTTGTCAGTTGTAGAGGGAAGAAAATAAATTACCTATATTATATATTAACAATGGAAATGTACTTTACACATATAAATACATAAATACATACTTATCACACTAAATTACCGATCTATACTTTTTTCCTTAGAAATATGTTGAAATGTTCTGTTACTATTTGAACATCCCTTTATAACTGAGTAGTATTTTATTGCATGAAAGTAAGCTAAATGTATTTAGTCAATCCTGCTGTTAAATATGAAAGTATTTCCTAGCTTTGTAATAATTGATGCCACATAGAGAGCTTTGTTACTAAATCTTTTTGACTATCGACTTATTTCCTTAGGAAAAATTACATGCAATATAATTGTTAGAAATAAAGCTTAGTATACCTTTAAGTTACTTTTGCTTTTATGTTCTGTATTGTGTTAAGCTGCCTTTCAGAAAAATGGGGAAATTTTACCCATCCTGAGTTTACCCATCCTGAGTTTCATTCTTCATACTTTCGAACATTTGATACCTTTTCCTTCTTTTAAAAAAAACACCTTCTATGATTGATAAATGAAAAAGTCTTCTCTTGTATAAAGACCTAGCTAGTTTTTTTTTTAACAGTACTGGTACTTTGTATCATAGTTCCTTGGTTGGCTAATTATCTGCCTTCATAGCTTCAGAGCAGCCTGAGAGTCAAGTATGTCCTATTTGCTTGTATGGTCTTGGATGCTCACAACTCCTTCTTGCACTGAATTGAATTGGAAGACATATGTTGCTTAGAATCTCTTGCCCAGATGTACAATTTTCAATACACTCAGTGGGAGATTGTTATTCCTGTCAGTTGCACAATAACGAATGATTTGTATTGAGCATTGGTTATATGCCAGCACCATTTTTAATGCTCTGCATCCTTAATACATTCTGAGCTTACCATTGACAAAAACTGTCATTGAACTCAGGACTAGCCAATTGTCAAGTAATTGTTTTCTTTTCCTCCCAGCTCCTCTCCTCTCCTATTTTCTCTCTTCACTGTTAACATTTTAATATACACTAACTAGAGAAGACAGAATAATCTACCTTGATATAGCCAACATTTATCTTCAACAGTTATTAACATGTGGTCTATCTTCTTTCATTTATGACTTCTCTTCATCACTTGGAATCTTCATTCCTATGATGGATTATTTTAAAGCGTGTCTCAGGGCAGGAGTAGGCAGGGTGGTGTAGGGAGATGTAGTTCAATAGTAGTGCCTTGCCCTGCATACACAGGCCTTGTGTTGGATCCGTAGCATTGCAAATTATAATAAATTACTGGTTCTAGTATTAACTATCAATTAACTTATTAGTTCTATTATTCTATTTATTAATTATGTTAGTAGATAATAGTTCTCTGTGTACCTATTACCACTACAAATAATAAATATAAAGCTATTATCAGATATACTGTTTAGATAGATAGATAGATAGATAGATAGATAGATAGATAGATAGATGCATCATGGACTTGTTTACTGAAGACCAAAATGTCATTATTATACTTTAAAAGTATACTGATTTTTATGATATCCTATGTCTAATCAGTGCCATATTTTCCTAATGATCTCACAATGACTATTTATGTATGATTCATAAGAATCAGAATCTACATGAATCACTTGTTGTGTTTTGAATTATTCTAACCACAAAAGTCCTTTCTCCTCTAGAAGATTTGAAGACGATTTCTCTGAGACAGAGATTCTTAAGTGGAGAAGTCTAAAATTCTCAAAGAATCTCCACAGTTTGAATATCTATTTCATATCTCACAGGAAGGATGTTCACTTTATAGTGAACCACTGAGAAGCACTGAGATCCAGTCCCTTTTCTGCTCTGCTTCTGTGATGACTCTATCACAAGATATAGCAATGTCAGCTTCCATCCTTCCCTTCCTACCTGCCTTCCATCTTCCCTCCCTTGTTTTCCTCCCCCCTCCCTCCCTCCCTCCCTACCTACATCCTTCCCTCCCTCCCTCCCTTCCTTCCTTCCTTCCTTCCTTCCTTCCTTCCTTCCTTCCTTCCTTCCTTTCTTCTTCCTCTCTCTCTCCTCCTTTGCTCCCTCTCTCCCTCCTTCCCTCTTTTTCTTCCCTCCTCCCTGCCTCCCTTCCTTCCTTCTTGTGCTGGTCTTGGGGCTTAAACTTCAGACCTAAGAAATCCTTGAGCATTTTGCTTAAGATCAATTCTCTACCACTTGAGCCACAGCTCCACTTTCAGATTTTTCATAGTTAATTGGAAATTAAGAGTCTCACAGACTTTCTTGTCTGGGCTGGCTTTGAACCATGATACTCAGATCTTAGCCTCCTGAGTAGATAGGATAAAAGGTGGGAGCCAACCGCACCTGTCTAATGTCTCCTTTCTCAAGAGAAATAGTTATTAACGGGTGCTGGTTTGAAATTCTCTGCTTAGCACTGAAATATTGTCCTCTAGCAGGAAGCACAACACAAACTGGATCCTACATCCTTGGGAATAGAAGCAAATAGCTTGCTATTTTCCTAAGTGGGTCAGGACTTTGAGTGGATATTTAAGCTGAGCATATTTTAAGTTCTAATTTTCACTTTTGGTTCTGTTTTGAACTTGAAGGTCTAATCATCCTCCATTGTGTGGTGGCAGATGAAAATTCAACTAGAAGTCCAGGAACAAATGGTCCCTTTTGTGGAGATCTTGGGGAAAACTGTGCAGGTAAATCTTACGTGTCATTTTCAACCTCAGAAAGTTCTTCCTAAGGCATGATTTTTGGTAACTATTTATAATGCTTGGTAGTTCTCTGAGTGCATACTGATGTAGAAGCGCTTGACATGCAATAAATCATTCATTCATCATAAAAGTCCTCTGAATAAGATGGTATCGTTAAATTTTACTTCAAGACAAAACTTAGAAAGATTAAATAACTTGTCTAATGTCACATAACTAAATAAATCTGAGATTCAAATTCAAGTCTTTCTAATTCCAGTGGCTACACCGTAATCACTAGACTAGTGTCAGAGATATATGCTGAAACTCTGATGAGTGGTATGTTGATCTGTGTTCATAGAAAGTTGGTCCATTTCCCCTCTTGTTCTCTTTATGCCTTTAGAAAAGAAGTTTAACATCTTTTTCCTTGAATTCATGTTTTCAAAGTTATTCATTTATGGCAGAGGTTTCAATAAAAAGTTACTGTGGGACTGAATGGGCCTCCATTTTCAGATTCTTGGTCTAAAATACTGTTTGTTTTAGTTAGATTTGGTTATCTAGTCTTCTGCCAGGGTTGTTTTGGATTTTAGAAAAAGACCCTCCCCCCAAAAATATGTAGGCCAATGTCAAATGTATGATGTAATGGAGAAGTATCGGCTACATTCCCTTACAACGTCTGTGGGCTGGGAAGAGCATGCTCACTCCTTCCCTAGTCCCCTGGGAACACTGTCACCCAGCCAGGAACATGGTGAACAACTCTCCTGATGTGATTCATCAGCTCCAGCCCAGTCTTCCTCCTTCCTCCTCTCAGCAGTGGGTGAGCTGCTGGCTGTGCACAGCCTGGGAATGCTGGTGTCTTAGGTCATGTTTATGGGGTTCCAGCCTTGTCACCCATGTCAAGAGAATAAGACCACTTTTTATGATTGTGTGTTTTTCTTCAGTCTGGTTTCACATGTTTTAAATGATGAGATTTTCCACGTTTCCCTTGGGAAATTATTCTACAACCTGATGAATAACTAGCCCGATGATTGACAGGGTTTGAAAATCTTCCTTGTCATCATCCTAATTTTTATTTCATTTGTTTTCAGTATTGGAGTTTGAACTCAGGGCTTCTGTACTTGCTAGACAAACACTCTACAACTTGAGCCATGCCTCCAGCCCCTGTATGTAGTAGCTTATTCTGCATGTAAGGTCTCATGCTTTTGCCAGGTCTGGTTTCAGACTATGATTCTCCACCATCATGACTTGTGTAGCTGAGATTACAAACATTTGCCACTATTTCTGCATTACTCTTTTTGTAATAGATTTTTTGAGAACTCCCCACTCACTGGCTGATCTCAAACTGCAATCTTCCTATTTCCACTGTCCTCATAGCTGGGAGGTTATGTGTACATCACCATGCTCAGCCTAACTATGTTTTCTATTTTTTTGTTATGCTGTGAACATTCAAAAAATCTACCTTTCAAACTATTTTTAAGGTGGACAATCTAGTTTTGCTATAGGTATGATATTGTAGAACACATTTCGTGTGAGTGTGTGTGTGTGTGTGTGTGTGTGTGTGTAGTGTAGGAGTCAGTTCTGGGGCTTGAATTTAGCTGTCCCTTAGCTTTTTTGCTTAAGGCTAGCACTCTATTACTTGAGCCACAACTCTACCTCCAGCTTTCTGCTATTAAATGGAAGTAAGATCCTCACTGATTTTCCTGCTTGGGGTTGGTTTTGAACCATGATCCTCAGACCTCAGCATCCTGAGTAGCTAGGTTTACAGGGATGAGCCACTTGTGCTCAGCCCTGGCTAGGACAAAATTCTTGAATTAATTTATTTTGTATAACTATTATATCTGTTGAATAGCAGTTCCCAAGTTTCTCCATTTCAAAGCCCCTCACAGCCCATTCTACTCTCTGCTTCTGTGAATTTTGCTGGTTTTTTTTTTTTTTGTAGTTCCTCTAACCAGATCACGCAATATTTTTCCTTTTGTGACTGACTTATTCTACTTGGTGTAATGTCCATTAAAGCTCATTCAACTTGTCATGTATTTCAGAGTTTTCTTTAGTTACAAATCCGAATATTATTTCATTATTTGTGCAGCCTACATTTTATTTATCAATTTAGTTTCCATTCATGTGTCAATGGACACTTGGGTTACATCTACTTTTCCTTTTGATTCTAATGAGTAATACTACAGTGTATATGGAATATACATTTACATGTGTAAATATCTATAAGTTCCTTATTTTTATACATTTTTATTATAAAAATACTGTACAGAGGTGTTACAGTTACATGAGTAAAGTAATGAGTACATTTCCTATTGAGCACTGTTGCTTCCTCCTTTGTTTTTCCCCTACCATCCCTTCCTTCCCTACCTCCCCAACTCCAACTATTTCCCCCCTCCCCCTGCTGCCAAAGTTGTAAAGTTCGTTTTCAACATAGTGTCTTGTACATCTCATTGTTACAATGGGTCAACCTGTATCCCTATTTAAGCATTTTGAATTTTCCCTTCCCTTCCCCAAATGAGAAAAGTGTATATACAAGTATATACAAGATGCAGGGCACTGGAATCAAATACAATGTAAACAAGTTATACCATGGGGGAGGAACATACAAATGGAAAAAAAATCACATAGTACATTATAAGTACATTAAGAAGAACAGTGACAAAGATAAAACCTTTTGTGTCTCTGTCTTGGGGCTCATTTTACTTAACATCATCTCATATAGTCAAATGTACATAGCTTTTGACCTTTTCTGTTTGTCCTATACATATATTAGTTATTGTAAATAAGGGAAACTGTGGGACCTATGTTTCTTTGGGCCTGGCTTACTTCACTTAATATAATTTTTTCCAAGTCTTGCCATTTCCTAACAAATAGGGTGATGCCATTCTTTCTGATGGAGGCATAGAATTTTCTTGATCCATTCATCTACGGAGGGGCAACTGGGTTGGTTCCATATCTAAGCTATGATAAATAATGCTGCGATAAACATAGATGTGCTAGTATAAGCTTCTTATTTTAATGCTAACAGTACACAGGGGTTGCAATTTCTTCACATACTCTTTTCATTCCATTGTTTGACTCTCACAGTAATCCTGATTTGTATTAGGTGACTTGTTTTTTAAAATTAATGTACATTTATTGAACTAAGGAATTTCCCTTGGCCATCTCTGTACTTACATATAATGTACTTCAATCATATTCATTCCTTCTACTATTCTCTTTAAGTTGATCTCTGTCATTTTGCTTTCCCTTCCACTGAGAAGTTATAATATTGAGAATCTTTTGTATACCTATCAGTCATTCTTTAGGAAGTTATTTGTTCAATTCCTTAGTCCCATTTTTAAAATTGTATTACCTCTAGCTGTTGAGTCATAAGAGTTTCTTATATATTTTCAATATGAATCCGTTCTTGTATATCTAATTTGAAAATGATTTCTTACCTTCATAAGTTGCCTTTTCAGTCTGCTAATTGTTGTCTTTCCTTGCAGAAACTTAGTTTGATGTCATCCTACTTGTTGAATTTGGCTTTAGTTGCCAGTGCTTTTGGTGTCATTCACCATAAATCGCTACTAAGACCAATGTCAAGTTTTCCCTTCTATTTACTTACAGCAATTTTAAAGTTTCAGTTCTTACATTTAAGTGTCCATCTGACCAGCTTTGAGTTGCCTTTGTTTATAATGTGAGAAATGTCTAGTTTTATTCTTTTTTATTAATAAGTTTTTTAATTGTGAAAATACCATACAGAGAGGTTACAATTACATGAGCAAGGTAATGAGTACATTTCTTATCAAGCATTGTTGTCTCCTCCTCTCCTTTGCTTTCCCTTACCAACCCTGCCCTCCCATTTCCCCCCCCCCCTCCACCCCCCTCATCAAAGTTGTAAAGTTTGTTTTTTGACATAACGTCTAGTACATCTCATTGTTGCAATGGGTCCACCTGTATCCCTATTTCAACAATTTGTTTTTTCCCTTCCCCTCCACAAATTATACCAACATCAAATACAGTGAAAGCAGGGGTTATACCGTGGGGAAGGGACATACAAAGCAAAAAAGAAATAATCTTGTAAATGTGTTAGAAACAATAGCAAGAAAGAAAAACAATTTCTTTCACATGCTAATGTACACAGTTAAAGCATCACTTTTTGAGGAGACTATCTTTTTCTTCATTTTGTACTTAGTACCTTTGCTGAAGATGAATTTACTATATATTTCTGAGTTTCCTATTCTGTTCATTTATTTTCTATCTATGTATATCTCTATCAATATCTGTCAATATATGCATATATTTATGTGTCTGTGATGTGAGATAGTCTTTATAGCAGTACCAAATTGTTTTAGTAGAGCCTTGTAATGTAAAAATTTTAAATTAAGATGTATTGATGCTTCCAGTTTTGTTCTTGCTCAAGACTGTTTTGGTTGTCATCTTGGTGGTACCTTATCAGTTTGAGACTTGTCTTTCCATTTCTTCAAGAATTTGAATTTTGAGCAATATTGTATTGAATCTATAGAACACTTAGGCCAGTATGGGCATTTTAGCAATAATAAGTATTTCAGTCCATGATCTTGGAATGCTTTGTGTCTATTGTGCAGTCTTTAATTTGTTCAGCTTGCTTTTCTCTAGGAAATTATTGTCATGTATAAGACTAATGTATAAGTTCTAAATTTTATATGTCTTTAAAGGCAATATGAATTTATGTTCTCCTGTCTCAAGGAGATAGTTGGAAAGATAACAAGATAACTTAAAATTTGGAAAGCTTTCATCTTTTCCTTTTGACTTAAAAAGTTCTAAAATGAAGAAATCCCTACTGGGAAGATATATGAAGCCAGTATATTAAAGTCTTTAACTCTACTTCATACCTTAGGCACAAACTTCTCCAAATTTGACTCTACTTGGGCTCTTTTCTGCACACTTCTTTATTTCCATGTATTGTGTTATTTCTGTTCTTGTTAGATATATGTGTGAGGAGATGAATTTGTAGTAATTTCCTTTCGTCCTCTAACAATGGTGGGACT